TCCTTCGGCTCCTGGCTCCGCTGGGCGTGCGGGGAGCCCTCAGCGTGACTTCAGGAGCCGAGGGTGGGCTGTGCAGCGGCTGCGAGGCCTGGGAGGAAGGCAGAGCCGCTGTGTTCTTGCTGTCTGCAGCGTCGCACTTGGTCAGGGATAACTGTGGCATTCGAAGCGTTCTCTGACTCGAGTTTTCTCCAACAGCGGTTTTTAGCCTCAAAAGCTTTCATTGCATAATAAATTTTTTTCCCCAGTGTTATTTGTTTCATAGGTTATGGCTAAAGTTGGGTTAAGGGTGCTCAGAATGCATGCTGAGTGGCACTTAAGGGAGAAGTAAAACTAACTGTGCCAGTCAGCAACTGGGAGCAGGAGAGTGTTATTCAAGTCAGCCTGTAGTATGTAGCTACTTTACCCTATAGCATTTGATTGAGTTGTTCTTCATAAACATGAAATATTTTACAGCACTGAGTTTTAATTTTTCTTAATTTGCCTGATAGAATGTTTTTTTATGAGGATTCTAGCAAATACTGAGTGATAGTGAATGGAGGGTGCTTTCCTAACTAGCTGGAGAGGGTAGGTTATAACACCATAAGAAAAGGCGTGGCTACAGAAAAGGAGTGGAAGAGAATTAAGACAGTATTGTCAGTGTAAAGGACATCTGAGTGAGTTAACATAGTTCCCATGATCCTTTTTCTATCTGCCAAGGGAACCTTCAACAGGAAGGCTATGATAAACAAGTAGGAATGTCAAAGCCTGCCTATCCAGCAGGAACTTACTGGGCTTTTTTCTCTTTAATCACAAAGATCATACAGCAAAGGTAGCCTCACCTCATTTACAAAGATGCCTTAAAAAACAAAACCTAAATCCTGGGATGTTTTCCCAAAAGGTTTTACATTTTTCCTTGTGCCAATATTTGATTTATTGTCAGTGGTGTTTTAGAATTATACTTACATGATAGTTAAATACCATTAAGAAGGCTGTATAGGCATTCTAAGCACTAAAGCCCCTCTGCTCTGTTTAGCCTTTAAATGCTTTTCTTACATCTTCAAGTGTAGGAGCTTGAGGATGTGATCAGTGTGTTTAAGGTTTTCAGCTGGAGTTTGGGTCATTTTCTTGTCTTTACTCTTGAATTTTATAAGTGCTACCACTTTGCTAATCAAACATTGCTAATCTCTGACTCACACTTGCTTGTAAGTCATCCAGTGTTGCCTTTAGCAAACCTTTTTTTTTCCCCTGAGGCTGTAACCACAATCTGGGACTGTGATTTTCCTCTGCCTTTAATATTTCTCTAGGTAGATGGTTCCCCCAAGGTCTTAGCAATGTTATACACTTCACATAGGTGCAAATATGCATGGTACAAGGTGAGGGGGGGAAGAGGGGCAAGAAAAAAACAACCAAACAAAACCACACATACAAAAAAACCCCCCACACAAACAAAAAACCCCAACAAAATAAAAAACAGATGGTAACTTATCTGGAATAAAGTTCAGAGGGAGAATACTAAGTGTTACTGAGTAGAGTATCCTGTAGTTTGTTGGAAACATGATGCTGGTGATACTTTACCAACTAAAATGCTTGAGAAAAGGGCTTTGTAGACATGAGCACATTAAGCAATACTAAACTACTATACAGCCCTTCTCTTGTCCAATTTTATGTAGCACAAACCTGAATAGCTGATGATACTAACATGAGTGATAAACCATAGGTTAATGTTCTTCAGCTGAGCAGGTTAAAAAGATATATTTCAGGGGACTTGAAACAAGTCTTTCAAAAGCCATACAATGGCAGTTAATCTCTGAATGAAATCTAAGTTTTTATTCAAGTTCTATATTGATTTTTTAATATTGTGGTGAAAAACACTTGGCATAAGTTCAGAAACATCTACAAAGGTAATGTTTTCAAGAACTGAGGAATAATGTGCCCACTAAAACCTCCAATGAAAGAAAATCTCCATCAGGTTCTCAGCAGCAGGTGCTAAGCCTGATGTTGACAGTTGTGAATCTTCTATGATGTAGTATGGAAGTTGTTTGCTTTGCATATAAACATTTTGGTATTTGAGTTTGAAAAAACTTTCAGGTAGCCCTAATTGTTTATATATTTCTATAATCACTAGATGAAACAGAGGAGAGGTCCAAAATGTTGCCTGTGTTCTGTTGCAAGCTTTTGGAAAGCCATTGGAATGTATCAGTATTCAAGACTGTTTTCAAACCCTTTGTTCATATGCTTTAGAGCAGTGTGTTTAAGGATTAATGATAAACTAATGCTCATATCAGAGCTTAGGAGAAAAAAAAATTTTGTGGTAGAAGGTGATGGGTTTTCTCTGTATAAATGTCATAGATGAGTTTGAAATGTGCTTGACATTAGCAAAGAATGTCTAACTGAAAAAAAAAAACCCAACTTTCTAATGGTTTGACAGAAGTGAAACAGAGGGTACAGCTCCTGTTCTAGTGGTTCTTGACTTAAATTTTAGAAGGACCTTAGTAGGATGGCAATACAGATAAAATTGTTTCAGCTAGGTTCAAGCCTTAACCTTTGATTTTGAGAAACTCAAATGGCAGCTCTTGCTTCTGGTGAGCAGGGAATGTAACAATCTCTGTTTTGCCTGAGAAGGCTCAGAAAAGTGTCTAATGAATCAGCTTTCATGAGGGATGGGAGTCATAAAGTAAACTATGGAAGAATACAGGGGTGGACCTGGATGATATTCCTTTCTCATAAAGCTAGGGTGCAATTTTTGGCAAGTATGTTAACAAAAACACCTCTTCTGTCAGTAGCTATATACTCTTTATCACATACTAGCTGTTAGAGATGCTCTAAAAATGGAGGTGCTGACATTATTTTCAGGTTTTTACTTAGCTACCATTTCCAGTCTTTTTCTGTGCAGGGCTTCCCCTCAGAGATATAACTCCAGGCTATTCTTTTTTTCATAATCAATTGTTATTGCACATAATAATCCAAAACACTAAATCAGAAATGCAGAGATTCAAACTCTTTGGAATACTGGTGCCTGCCTGCTACGTGGGTTTTGCTTAACTTGCAATTGAGGAAGCTGCCTGGCCTAATTGTGGAGAACTTGCCTTAGGTGGAACTGAGCAAATTGCCCAACCCTTTGGAAAGAATGAAAGTTGCCGAGGAGACAAGGAAAAGAACAAGAAGTTTCTGGCAGGTCATCCTTAAAGGAGGGAACAGTTGAACCTAAACAAATAGCCTGAAGAAAGAACAGAAACCGGAGGAGGGGGAACCCAAACCAAACAAACAAACCAACCCACGGTTTGCCTCTGTGGCAGATCAGACCAACTGCTGGGCAACCTGTTCCCAAAAGTTTTAGCAAGTTTGAGCATTGTGTACCTGTGCTGGTGAAGGCTTTTGAAAGAATTGAATCTGGAAATGACAAGCAGTCCTAGCTTAACATTGTAGGAAATCAGACCTCTAAATAAACATTAAAATTCAGTTCAGTCTTATTTCATGTATTTATTAACTACATCAGAACAGGCTCTGAAAAGCCAAGATCTTGGCTCTTTCAGTGTTAAAGGTATTGCTGTTTTAGGCAGGTTTAACCTGCTGCCATCGTGGACTATGCTAAAGATTGGGTGGTTTGGTGTGATACTGTGATGCTAAGCTTAATATAGGCTTTAAAATTTGTTTCAAATTGAAGATTTAAAAAGCCTGGACTAGCTACATGCTTGCTTTGTATCCCAACTCCTTCTCAAATGTCATTGGAAGTAGGCTTTTTAATTTTAACTCCATGTCCTAGAAGCCTGGAAATTACTTCAGTGAACCCCAAAATGAACAAACTGTTTAGATTCAGGCAGTCCTATAAAGGAGGAAGAGTGGTCAGATGTAAAGTCCATGACTGATTTCCAGATGCAGAGGAAACTGAGTACACTTTCCATCTCTAGATGTTTTCCATCTGACATCAGGACCAGAGATAAGCAGAAGAGGAGGAGAGGATCTATAGCAGAGGTCTGTGCTGTCAGGAATGCTGTAGGGGTGGAGGATGTGTCCAGGTTTTTTCCTAGCCATAAAGGAATTAAGGGAAATATAGTGGAACTATGAATATTTTTTCTTTTTAATTGCCCTTTACTCAATCAGATAACCAAAGAATATTAGAGGCCAAAAAGTATGAACAGGTAGAAGGCAGAGTTACAGGGTTTATTTTTAAGAATAGGCTTATTTGTGGCTTAAGAAGCAATTTACAGCTTGTGAAGTCCCTCGGCTGCCGTTTGCTACCTGCTTGTAACTTGTTGTGTACGATCTTTTTGAATAGCGCTTCTGGCAACAGAAGTTCAGTGTAACGAGGTCTGTGCCTGCGGGGAATAATTGACATGCTAATTTGTTTCTTTGTGTGTTTTTTTCCCCCCTTCAGTCTCTCACAGTCAAATCACCCGGTTGTACAGTCGCTTCACTAGCCTCGACAAAGGAGAGAACGGCACTCTGAGGTGGGTGTTCTTCCCTTGACACGGATCTGCCCTGGTGCCTTGCTGCTGCAGCATGCTGACACGTTTTCCTCAGCTGGTGGATCAGTGAGGTGCTTACAACAGGTTCCTTCACACCTGCTGTCTACACGGACATCACAGTTTGTTTTGTGAAAGGTCAGGAAAAATCAGATTGTTGGACTGAGGTGCTCCAAATACCAGTTGCCTTTACTGTAGTGCTGAAGGTTTGTAGCACTTAATACCAAATCTGACCTTTCTTGTATTCATGGTCTTGCAACTAATGTTCAGAAATGTGAAACCACATTTTTTAGATTCTTACCTTTATGTTGTTTCTAATAATTGTGACAAGAGAGGTTTTGCTTTGTCATCTTTGTACTGGCTTTTATAACAAAAAGGTCATTTATATTTTTATGAGCATGGGCTTCTAATTGTTTCTGATACCCAGTGTCTTTTAACATTAATCTCTAGGCCCATTACTATTCTTAACTTTGCACCTCTTGTTGAATACCCACATCTATTAATGGGCTCAGAAATATGAAAGAGCTGGAACCAAGTCACTGACTAAACCACACATTTTTTAATAGTGCAGGATATATCAAGACCTTTAAAATGTTTGTAGCTACCAAATTGTAGACAGAAGACAAAGTGAACCAGTTTCTCACGACTTAGTTAAATAAAGATTAGGCTTAAACTTTATCAGCAGAACATTTTTTACTTTGAGTCTGCTGGAACAGATATTCTCAACTGAAAGGTAAACTCTAGTGGGATGATTGATGTTAAAATATGTCCTTGCTTGCTGTCTTTGTTCTCTACCCTTCCCTGCTGTGGTTGTTATATTATGTATTGGTTTACTCTTTATTTACTGAACTAATTAGAATTTTGGTTGTATTAAATTGCATATTCTGTTTTGTTTCCTACAGATTACATTAATGTTATGGAAATGGGTCACAAATTAAGAGCTGTCCATGACTGCACCAAGTGTGCAATTTTGTGACCAACATAATTGATATAAGACCATAATGCAACTTAGTCTGTTGCTTTTCTGTGTCCATGCTGGTACTCAAGGTTCAGATTTGGAAACTAACATATAGCTTTAAAAACTTGCCAAGAAAAGCAGCAAAAAAGGAATCTGATCAGTTTTCAAGTGGATTTTGGTTCCTGTTCACCATATGTATAGTTATGTGTATACCAGAACACAGGGAAGCTGGGAAGACTGCAGGAGAGAGGAGGAAGGGGAAAGGGACCTTGTTGTAGCACTGTATGTGGTGTCTGGCTGGGATAGAGTTAATTTTTTTTATAGCAATTCCATCCCAGTAAACAGATTCAGGGATCACCTGGCCTTTTATATATGATCTTGCAAAATGTGATGGTAGAATGCCCTCTGAACCTATAAAACCTAGACCTACCTGTAAACCAACCTAGCTCTAGAGTCACTGCTTAGAAGATGACAAGTAAGGCACACTGTTTTTGGCAGTACTGCTGCCATCCTGCAGTTGCCTTTCTTGAAGGAAATGTGCAGTTCTTTCTGGTGCCAGAAATTGCTGACTTCTCAGTTAACATTAAAATAATTGGTTGTGGAGTTGTACTGTAAACACAACTACTGAGTGATTATTTTTGGTTAAAGACTCTTCTAGATATTTTTAAGCTGACTGACTCCAGTGATTTTGACTGTGGCTGTACTGTAAATATCTGGACTTGCATAGCTGAAGGGATGACAAAATGGATTGTAGGTGTGCAAACAATTGACATGGGATGGGCAGGAACTGAAGCCCAGTTTGTCACCAAAGCAAGTGTATCATATAAATTGCAGCATTGGCTAATTGACAATTGTGACATCCAGATCAGCTGATGATATTGTAGATAGGTTAATACTTAAGTCTCAAAATTAAATGGTGAGAAAAATACTAACAGCCTCTTCAGACTTTGCATGTGAGTTTAGTCCTCACTGATGAGTGAAGGTGATGGCTGCTGGTCTAGCACAATTTGAACCTAGCATGTTTTTCCTCAGCTTTTCCCTCCAACTTTAAATTCACCTCTTGAGTCCATAAAGCTTGTATAAACCTCTAAGTTATTGTATTCAGCTTACATAAGAGTAGTAATTATGCTATGAATGTCTGTTGCTCAATGCTTAGTTTCATGGTGTTATGTATGGGGAGGAGCTTGACTTTCCTTGTTGATAATCACAGGGTACCTGGGAAAGGAAGTGAAGTTTGTTTGGAAAATCCCAGCATCTATGCAAACTGTCTTGCATAAACCATTAACTCAGTCTTGGCCTCTAAGCATGGTCTGCTCCCAAACAGGGCTGACTTAGTGGCATTCACATTTGGAAACCTGTCCTGGTACCCACAATATGTGGAAACCATTAAGTTTAACTAATGGAAAACAACAGCTTCCTGAACAAAACAATGAGGGGAGAGGAAGAACTACAGCTCAGGAGGCCATGAATGTCAGTTTCTGAAATACTGTTCAAAGGACTTACTACACTGAGGCAAGCAAGATGAAGTTCTGGTTGCTTACTGTCTCCAAACAGTTCAGGAGTCTTCCAGTTGTTTCCTGTGAGCAAGGGTTGTTTCCGTAAGGATGACTTGCAGCTTTGGCTTGCAGATCAGACAGGATAGAAATCACTCATGTGACTATGATCAGGAAAAGTGGGCAGTTCTTTATCATGTGAAATCTTTAAATGTGTACCACCCTTCTGAAGCAGAGGAAGAGTTGTGTAGTTTTTATCTGTGTATTAAAGAAGGGCATGGTAAAGAGCATTTTCTACAGAAGATGGTGATTAATCCTGGTTGTTAGAGAAGACATGGAGCTCATTCTGAAACTATAATCCAAAGCTGAAATCTTTCCTAGCCAGTGTACCTATGTGCAGTCTGAAGGTACTTTCTCTTTGCAGTTAAATAATGAGATGTAAGAGGAGGGTGTTGGTGGAGATAAAACTTCAAATGCCTTTTTTTAGCTTCTTCCTTCTCCTTATTCTCTAACTACAGCTATGGTTGCTGTTTACACTTTGGAGTTGAAAAACTTTCTGTAGCTTCACTTTTCTTGAACAAAACAAGTAAGCTCTGTCAGGCTTGCACCACTTGAATGAAACTGTGTTGTCAAATCCAGGATAAAACTGTTGGAAAATTCTTTTGTCACCTTTGGCTTCAATATTGTGACACACTGAGCAGACAAAACTAGAGGTTGATGCATTTGGATGTCCACAGCTACATCTAAATCATGAAATCTGAAACACATTTGTTCTGCCTACATCCTAACCACAGGTCAGGAGGCAACCAGTGTGCATGTTCTCTTCTTTACATTCTGATTGCCAAGATGAGGAAATTGAAGCATATGACCAGGATAAGAATGTTTGTTTCAGTGTGTCTCCTTGTTGGGCTGGCACTGAAATGTACACCACACAAGAATACATCTGCTCTGAAGTTTATCTGCTAGTAAGTAGCTTTAGACAGACAGGTACAGAGCTATAAAAAGGAGATTCTTGTCTAAACTGCTAGTTCTGCAGGGAGCCTCCCACGTAGCATAGTTTCTGGTGTGCTGGGGAAATGACAGGTTAAGCACTTCAGAAGTACTTTTCACAGTACTGCAATCAGTGTAGCCTCCTGAGTGTGGGAGAAGGAAGAGAGCAAGTGTCCTGGAAGGTGATACCTGAGGAGAACATTGAACTGTTTGTGTGTATCTCATGCTTAGGAAAGCTATTGACAAGGTGGTGTCTCCTGGAGAACTTCAGCAAGCCTCTCTTCCTGAGAGAAGGGTAACAGGAGCTAGCTGGGCTGTCTGTTCTTCTTTGTCAGTGAATCAATTCATCTCAGTCTGGAAAGGTGTCAGGCTGCTTCTTATGAGTTCACACTGATACAGCAAGATTTTGAGGCCCAGTGAAAAAGGTAAAACTCTGAATGTGGAATTCTTTACCTTTGCTTAAGAAAATGCAAAGGATTTTTAGCTTTGGCTAAAACAGATGAGATGGGCAGGATGTGGGTTTGGATTGGAGAATGACAGGGTACTAGAATAGTCTGTACTTCCATCCTTGGCCATGTTTTATTCATACTGCTTTCCCCCCTCCCTGCTTTGCACATCTAATTATCACCTTCAGTGTACTTCTTGGCCTACTGTTTATAAACCAATTACTCCTCTGATAGTTAAGTGACTTCTAAAATAAGTGTGAAGCATGTGTAAGGATGAAGCTAGATGAGATGGCTGATGGCTGAATAGTCTGTACTTCCATCCTTGGCCATGTTTTATTCATACTGCTTTCCCCCCTCCCTGCTTTGCACATCTAATTATCACCTTCAGTGTACTTCTTGGCCTACTGTTTATAAACCAATTACTCCTCTGATAGTTAAGTGACTTCTAAAATAAGTGTGAAGCATGTGTAAGGATGAAGCTAGATGAGATGGCTGATGGCTGGGAGGATGTCTGTCTTCTTTCCCTTCCCTATCATTTCTCCAGGCTCCCAGTTTGTCAGCCATGGTGCTGTTAGATTTTTGAAGGGTTTTGGGTGGCTTCAAGTTGCTAATTCAACAGAAAAATACTTAGGAGGTTGGAAAGGAGGAAGGTGGGGGGGAACTCTTTTGGAGGGTTAGTGAGATACCTCAGACTACCAAAAGTTTTGAGTGACAAAGCTAAATGTTAGCAAGGGAAGGGAGCAGTGAAACCTCTTCAGTAGTAACCTGTAAAATCTTTGACCATCTTGGGTGATACACTGTACTTATTACTATACTTATCATCTTGGGTGATACACTGTACTTATTATTACTATACTTAATTACTTCCCTTTTTCAAGTAATTTGTTACCTGTGTCCTCTGGGCACTTTTCCTGTCCTCTGCCACTTCTGCTTTGCATGGGTTTTTCTTTGTTTTACTTATCTTCAGCTCTAGATAGCCCTACTCTGTTCCCTCAACAGGGACAAGAAGTAGTCTGTGCTATCACTTCTGCTTTGCATGGGTTTTTCTTTCTGTTTTACTTTTCTTCAGCTCTAGATAGCCCTACTCTGCTCCCTCAACAGGGACAAGAAGTACTCTGTGCTACTATGCAGAAATAAAAGGATGAAAAACCAGAAACAATGGAAGGGGGGGAAAAAATGAAACTGTCTTGTAGGTTTCTGGCTGCCTTTGGGGTAAGGCAGAGCCACCTTCACAGCAGGGATCTGCTCTGTGCTCTGGAGGGTATACTCATGCTTAGAAATACTTGTCTTGCTTAGAATGTACCAATTTCTTACTGCAAAATATGTCTAAGAGGGAATGAACTGGCACATATTATTATGCAGGCTAACTTTATATATATATAAAGGTTGCTCTGTATGTTCTATCTAATAGAAGCCAGGTTCCTGGAAAGATATGTTAGAAGAGTCTTGTTGCCATAGCACGTGAACACTAAAGGGCATCACATTTCCTGTAAGATCCAGCCTCAGCCAGGTGAAGTTGGTCCCTAATGACTGCAGGAAGCCTTAATTTGTGAACTGGAGAATAACTTACATCCTGCATTCATTTACTTTTTTTATGGCTGCTACAGCCATTTCAATTATAATGCTCACTCAGTAATGTACTCTTAATAAGCAAAAACAGTCTACTGCCATCCTGATAATGACAGGACAAATAGATTTGAAACCCAGGGAGTTAATTGTGGTTAATTGTTAATCTCCTGTTACAAAGCAGAAAAACTGGCAGCTGAAATGAATGTAAATTGAGGCTTAATACCAAGAAACAGTGATATGCAAGTAAAAAAAATCTGAAGCTTTAGGATTTTGCTCTAAATGGGAGAGAGGGCAGTTGCTACTTTCAGCTTGTAGATGGTAGCATTGGCACTAAAGCCCTGTGGTGAAAATTTTTACCAGGGTGTAGTTTTTCCACATCACTGCATCTCCTGCCTAAACCACTAATGCATACTTTGCCCTTCAGCTATACCTTTAAAATGCAGCAGTCCTGAAGGCTCTGGTAACAAGTTGATCTTGTTAATACAGGTGTTAACTTTGCCTATTAAAAATAATTCAGACCTGGTCAGAGCAGAAGTTTGCTGGGATAGTTTCAAAATACAGCCAGGTTGTACTATTAGAAGGTCAGACTGTTTCACCATGCTGTAACAGATGTTATAACTGGGACTCTCACAGTGCCTGTGACTGAGGAGTGCTCCAGAATGCATTTGAAACTAGAGTGTCTTGCTTCTGTGCCTTCCCCCAGGCTAGTCTAGTCATATGGTCAACCAAGTCCTTTTCCCCCTGTGTCTTTGAGATCACAGCATTATAAAAGGCCAGCATACTTAAGTAATCTGATGATCAATTTGTTTCCTTGTTGCTGCCAGTTTCTTGGTGTCATGACATCATGAATTAAACCCTGTTGCTGAGTCATTTGCTGAGCATAGGTTGCAGAAGTTGCAAGCATTTAGTAACTAAGTTTGAGACTTTGACCCAAACTTCAAAACCAGTAGGACTGCATTTGGCTTGAAGGGAAGTGCCAGTTTCTGGAGACTAGGCAGGAAATGTCAAGGTATGCATCCAGACAGAATAGATTTTATTTTACAGCCTTACCCATTGCTGTTATCTTTGCAGTTCAAATTATTCTAGAGTACACCTTGTACTAAATGATAAATTGCTGTGGTTTTAGTCTGTGTGTGAAGCCAAAACAAACCCCAAACCAAAGTTGACTGAAGTAGTCACTAAGACATGCTGTCTGCCTTGGTCTCACCATGACTATCTTACTTCTGTGTCAGTAAAATTCTACTAGGTCAAAATAAAAACTAATCTATTATTCTAATAATAGAATTAACCCTATGTTCATGTCATACTGATGATGTCTGCCAGATCAGAAAAAACTATAGTACTGTAAGCACATATATGCTTATACCATACCGTGCAGATAGAATCCTGAGCTGCAAGGGGAATGGCTGGCAAGAGCAGTGGATACTTGCAATGTACTGGTGAAGTTACAGCTGATACACAGACCCCTGTTCAAGTCTAAATTTACTGCTTTAAAACAGGGCACTGCCTAGTTGAAGCTAAAATAATCTGAAATGTGTCATTTATATTAAGATAGGAAGTTGTTGCATTAACAAAAAATTCTATTAGAATATGCAGATCACTTATGGCATGTTTGGAGTATGGTGTTGTCCCAGAATCTGCAATGGGGGTGGTCTGGAAAAATCACACCAACTCAAATTATTCAGTACCAAAATGATTATTAGAACAAAGTTCTTTTTCATTTTGAAACCATGTTTTCCTTAAGCCATTTCATAAGCTTTCCTTTCCCTATATTGCAGACTAGCTGGCATCCTTGCAGGAAGGTTTCTAGCACAACATCTGAGCATCTAAGATGTGCTGTTAGAACATTGTCAGAACATTGCTAGTCTGTAATGTAATACTGGCTTGACATTGTCTTTTGCCTTGTTCTGTGCCATTAGTCACAGAGAAAACATGATTTAAAGAGTTAAGTTTTTAAAAGCCACCAAGTGTATTGCTGCAGACATAGAACCCAGGGGATGTTTTACTGTGAATTCTTCTTAAGCAACTTTTTCTGACTTCAACTTTATGCAGACTTCTTGTGTTCTTGCTTTACTTAGCCGTGAGGACTTCCAGAGGATTCCAGAGCTTGCCATCAATCCACTGGGAGACAGAATTATCAATGCCTTCTTTCCAGAAGGGTGAGTTCCAACAGACTGAATTTACAAGTGGGCACAAAGTTTGTAGTTCATCAGAAGTTTTGGTAGAAGTGAAACACTGATAATTAAAGCACAGAATTTTATATAGTCATAATAGAACTCCTCAAACTTGTCTTGAAACATATGTGGGTACATTTTCTTCTGCATGTTTTCATTTTCTGTAATGAGAAAGATTTCACAACCCAAAATGAGTTTTTTGTGTGCTTTATTCACTGACAAACTCAGGCTTCACATCAGTTTTTCATGGTTCTTGCTATGCTACTGAACACTTTTGGAGCAAGTCAAAGGCATGTATGGACTTTGGTTCTTAAAGCAAACCTATAGTAATACTATTTGATGCTAAGTAGTATTGCAGTTAACTAATTCAGTCTTGTTTTCCACCTTTTAGCCTGTAAGTGTCCCTTTATTAGATCAGCTTTTTGTGCTTGGCTTTAGTTGCTGACCACATTTAAGACAGTTTATGGCACTTCTAACATAAGTCCAAAGAAATGATCAGACTTGCAGTACTGTCTCTCTTCATTATAGCTCTTTAGATTGTGCTCAAGAACCTCAGCAGATTCCATAAAACATTTGTCATTAATGATTGATGAAGATTGGGCTGTCTAATCAAGTTATAGTACCAGCTAATACCAGGCAGGGTTCCCTGAATAGAAATCAGGAGTGCTGGGGAGCACTTACGTAGCTGGTTCCCACAAACTCAAGAATCTAGAGAGCTGTTTGTGAGGGAGTGGTGAGCGATGGCTGCACCACAAGCAGGAGAAAAGTGACAGCAAAGCTGACAGGGGCAATGTGCTTGCTGACAAAGGGCACAGCACCTGAAGGAGAAGAGCAGAGCAGGTCCAGTGACTGTCACATTAGCCAACAGTCCAGTGCTTGCTGCACAGGTTGGCAATGGGGAAGCCAATTGGGTCAGTCCAGGGAACCAGGGTTCAGATCAGCAAGACACATTGCCAGACTCAGCCATAGCTTCAGGGGAGCTCAGGCAAGAGCTGAGGGTGAGCTGATGAGCTTGAACAGATTTTTTTTTTTTTAAAAAAAGGGGAGCCCTCAATGACATTTCTCACAGCTTCTCTTTTAGCACAGTGTATTTCACAACAGTGTGATCGATGTTTGTGACTGCACTGTTCAGAGCTGGGTTTGAGCATAGGCAGCCAAGCCCTGGGGAAGTGGGAGTGGAGGAGGTGTTAATGCTTTAGACATTCCAGTCATACCTTTTATTGGAAAAAAAGACCTGTATCAGCTCTGCCAAAACTGCCCTGCTGCACTGCTTCCACAGAGAGGACCAGGTGAACTTCCGTGGGTTCATGAGGACGCTGGCTCACTTCCGACCCATCGAAGACAATGAAAAGAGCAAAGACCAGAATGGGCCAGAGCCCCTCAACAGCCGAAGTAACAAGCTCCACTGTAAGAAATGTGAACCTTCCTATAGAAGCTATTGCTTTTCTTTGGTTTTTTTTGTGGGAAGAGAGTGAAGGGACTTGGGGTCTTCTCTACAGTTTTTCCCTACGGAATGATATCCCCTAATACCACTTTTTGAAATGAACTTGCAAGCTTACCTGTTCAAAATGTCACCAATTCACCTATTCTTGTACTGGAATTTGGTGGAATTGACTGAATCTTGAGTAAACATGCTTTTCCAAACATCATCTAACAGTGTTTTGAAATGATATGCATGCAGAATTAATTTAGATTTAGGAGCCACATCCCCTGTGTGAATGGGTTTTGCTGCTTCTTTCTGCAGTCTTCCCTGTAATATACTGCTTCACCTTCAGCTGAGTACTTTCTTATTTAGGTGCCTGCCTACAGTATATGAGCAGTGCTCTTGCTTGCTAACCAAAGTTGGCAACAGTCCTCAGAGCACTTAATTCCTGTCATACCTCATCCAGAATATAGTCAAAGAGAATGATTGGTAATGTGAAAATGGTTTGCTCTGAAGTTAAAGGATTTGGCAACAGTCCTCAGAGCACTTAATTTCTGTCATACCACATCCAGAATATAGTCAAAGAGTGATTGGTAATGTAAAAATGGTTTGCTCTGAAGTTAAAGGACTGACTGTATCTTAGTGGTAATTCTAATTCCATGAATTGGGGCTTTGAAGAAGTACCTCAACAAGTAGTTTGCTTCTGAAAGTACTTATACTGACTGCTTAGGGTTTCTCACTTCAATAACACTATCCCTGTGTGTAGTAATAACACTTTATAGAACTGAACATGAGTTTTATGACAAATTAAAATTCTAAGCTAATTATCTTAAAATAATTTGTTAATACTTTTTTTTTCTTAGATAAATGTATTATTATGAAGAAAAATAATGGCACTTGAATTAAACTGCTCATTCTTTTCTTCCCTGTAGTTGCTTTTCGGTTATATGATCTAGATAAAGATGACAAGATTTCCAGGGATGAGCTTCTTCAGGTAAATGGCACAGGGCTGTTTTGAATTATTTTATCATGACCTTCTGTGATTCACACCCAATTAGAATGAAGAGGGAAGTTAAAACAGCCTTCTCAGAAGAAGCCCTGTAGGAATTTGGTGGCTAATTGCTTGTCTCTGACTTAAAGCTTTAGATATGGTATAAGACTTCTAATCTCATTTGGTAGCCTAGGCTGTTCTATCAGACTGAGAATGCTAGATTAAAACTTAAACCAGGGTGTTAGGCTAAGCAGATCCTATTGAAGTTATACCTAAATATCCAACAAATACACTAAGCCCCTTAAGAACTACCTTCTAGAACTTGCAAAGGTGCTTCTAGCAGGACTTCACAGTGACAACCTTTGGGTTGTTTGCCTGATCCTCTGTGCATCCTTTCAGTAAACTAAAGCTTCCTGAAATTGCAGCAAAGGTAAACCAAGTTCATCAGTGCTGCATGTCTATGAAACAAGGCTTGAGCTAGGAGTAATTACATACTACTAATCCTGGGAAGCAGACATGGCAATTTGTGGTTTCTGATGTAGGGCAAGGATTTCCTTTTGGCTGACTGAAACTGCCCTCTACTATCTGCACAGAAAATGCTTTACTAACTGTAGAGGGTAATGACAGTTACTTGACCATATACTTAGAAGATTCCTGTTGGCAGCTATCTCAAACAGCAGATACTTGATCAGGTGCTGGTATGGTTACCATGGTTTGAACCTGGTTGGCAGTTGAATGCCCTCCCTCTAGCCCCAGTGAGTTGGGAGAGGGAATTGGAGGGGTAGTGGTAAGGAGACTCATAGGTGGAGATAAAAACACTTTAATAATTGAAAAATAATAAAATAACTAAAATAGTAATAACAGAATAACAAATGAGTGATGTACAGGGCAATTGCTCACCACTGATGCCCAGCCTGTTTCTAGCTAGTGATCTTGGAGCAGAGAAGGTCCTGAAACCACATCCCAGAAGCACTCAGCTTCCCAGTCCCCCTCATCTACCTACTGAGCATGGCTTTGTATGATGTGGGATATTGCACTGGCCAGTTCTAGTTTGTTGTTCTGGTTATGATCCCACCTACCTTCTTGTGCACCTCCACATGAGCAAAAAGTGGAAAGTTTAAAAGTCCTTGAAGCAGTCACTAAAAATACATTATCAATGTTCTTCTCAAACAGATTCACTTACTGAATCTGAAACACAGCACTAATCTAGCTACTAGGAAGAAAAATACTATGTCCCAGCTGAAACCAGGACAATGTTTTGTGGGGAAAAAGACAAAAACATTGGGCCAAAATGTATTAACTGCTAGTTCCAAAAGCTTGCCTCTTCCTGCTGCCTAATGAAAGAGCAGGATCCTTTGTCAAAGGCAGCTACAGCAGGAAGCTGACTTTCCTGAAAGCCTTGATGTACTAAGGACAAATGGAAGTCTGTCTAAAGATTACTTCCATGGAAATCCTCCAGGATTTTCCTTGTATACTGTCAAAACACCATCCACAAGAAAAACAGCACTAAGAATACTTCTGTTCCTGTGTCAGTAAGTTACTTTTCCTTATGCAGGTCCCCAGATTTGTGTTTAATGTGTTGCAGGTCTTGCGGATGATGGTCGGTGTGAACATTTCAGATGAGCAGCTGGGCAGCATTGCTGACAGGACAATCCAGGAAGCTGACCAAGATGGGGACGGTGCCATCTCCTTTGCAGAGTTTGCAGAGGTTGGTAAACTACCTTCTAAACACTAAAGGGAAGTGCTCAATAGTGGGCAAGTGTGATTTAAATGCAAACAGAAGTCATCATTTCAATAGGCCTGCCTGCATTTGGGCAAAGCAAGCCTCCTGCTAGCTCTTGGTCTTCCCTTCTTTATTAGGATCTTCATTTTCATGAGAACATTGGAAGTTTTGTAGTTCAAGTCCTTTACATTATATCTTTTGGTAGTCAGAAATAGCTACTAGTAAGGAGCCATTGCATAGTCAGTGGAGAAAGTTGGCCTATAGCAAAAGAATTTCAATTGCCCAATGGGATGGTATTGATAAGAACCAGACTGATCTTGGAGGTGGACAAAGACATTACAAGAGGCAACAGAAACAAGTTGCAATGTGAGAAATTGTTTAGCTCTAAGGCAGACTTTTTCCAGAGGGTGTTGATAGCTTCTGAAGATGTAGAACCTCCTTCTTTAGAGATATTTAAAAATTAACTGGACAAGGCCCTGAGTAACTTAGCTGGCCCTGCTTTAAGTAAGAGTTGAGAGAGACCTCCACAGGTCTCTTCAAACTTAAATTAATCTTGGAACACTGGAGTCTATTGCCTGAAACAGCCTGGAGTGGACAAATGTTTTTTTATATATCTCAGTATTAATAACAATTCAATAAATGAAGCTGCCACCTTATTTTTACAATTATGTGTTAGTGAGACTGTGGTCTTGATTTTAGCTCTTCCATGATTGCTCATGCTCCTTGCTTTTTTTTTCCCCATCCATTTTCTGGCCACGCATTCCCATGCAACCTCATTTTGGGAATCTGAGCCTTTCTGGGCTGTTGGCAGACTGAAGCTGTGCTAGTTACATTTTGGTTGACAGCCTTCTTCCAGCTTTAATGACTGAAGTTTCCTTCCTTGGAAGGACCTTAGTCTGGAATGAAAAATAGCAGTCTCTAGATGAAGGACTATCATGCCAAATTGAAGACATCCCACGTTCCTGCTTATTTCCTCTATACTAGAGTAAGAAACTTTGTAGGAAAGAAGTATATACAGTAACTGAAGTAGCTGTTTCTGAATTTTATTGCAGGTTATGAAGAAGGTGGATGTAGAACAGAAAATGAGCATTCGATTTCTTCACTGATAGATGGAGAACCTGTTCCTTCCTGCCCCTACTATGTAATGAATAGAACTTAATTTTCTCCTTAGCTATGCAACTTGGAATTGAGTATTTTTTGAAAAGAAAATTTCCTTCCATTTTTTTTTACCCTTTCTCCCTTGTCTCCTTCTGCACTACTGTTTCAGAAAAAGTCTCTCCTTATGTACTGCTGTTTAATCTACAAACTGATTCTTCTGAGCTTGGAGTCTGAGAATGGAAAAACTGGAACATGCCACAGAAGTGCCCTCTGAAACACTTTGGAGACAAGCATCTACTCAACTACTAGCTGCAGTGATAATCCATTTCTGCTTCCAGTAGCAACACCATATTACAGCTGTCTCTTTCCCATTTTGCTATTTACATGCAGATTTGTCTCTTCATTGCTTCCAAATCTGCCTTCTACTTGAGGACTTCTCAATTTCTATGGCTTCATTGTACAACTAGCACTGAATGCATGATGATAACCTGGAGTACTTTAAAGTACTGTGAATAGATAGCAAGGCATTTGACACAGTCCCCC